GAACATCTCTTCATGTTGCTTGACCACTTGTAAATCTTCTTTAGAAATATGTCTGTTCAAACAAAGGAGGAGGCTACAATGCTTGATAAGAAATGTACTCATTCTCTTGCTCATGTAATTGTAACCCCTCTGTACAGTATTTTCACAATAAAAAAATAAAAATTAAAAAAACTTAAACAAAAACAAAAAAATGTCTATTCAACTTGTGGGTGGAACAGGAGGGAAAAGCTAGGAGAGGGCAAAGGACAGAATGACATTGTCCAAAATGAAATGTACTCATTACCTGATTTTTGAGACAGTAGCTCCTTTGTATATTACCTTTATAATAACATTTTTAAAATGTCTATTAACATAATTTATTTGCCCATTTTTTGAGTTGCTTATTGTTGGGTTATAAGAGTTCTTTGTATATTCTAGATATTAAGTTTTATAAAATCAAGTCTGTTTACAAATAACTTTTCTCCCATTCTGTTAGTTATCTTCACTTTTTTGATGGTATTTTTGAAAAACAGTAGTTAAAAGATTTTTTTTATTAGCCATGTGTTGTAGCTTATGCCCATTATTCTGGTTTCTTAGAAAATAGAGATGGAGAGGATCATGGTCCAGGCTAGCCCAGGCAAAACACAAGACCCTATCTCAAAAATGAGAATTGTACAATGTATGTTTTTCTATAATTGGCTTATTTCCCTTAGCATAATGTTGACAAGGTTTATCTGCATTGCCTTTTTTTTTTTTTAATTACCCCTTTGGTACAGGTACTAGGGCTTGAATTCAGGGCATAGCTGCTGTCAAGGCTATTATTCTACCACTTGAGCTACAGCTCTACTTCTAAGTTTTTGATAGTTTAGTGAAAATAAGAGTCTCATAGACTTTTCTGCCCAGGCTGGAAAGCAAGAAAGTTGAATAATACTTGAATATAAAAATGCCTTCAAACTGCAATCCTCAGATTGTATCCTCCTGAGTAGTTTAGGATTACAGTCATGAGCCACCAGTGCCCGGCCATTCTGCAATTTTAATGTGTGTAATCAACATTAAAAGGTCAGTTTTTCTTTTAAAGAAGAACCACAGGCAGGATTAATTTCTCTGTACTTTGCTTTTTTTTTAACGATCAATTGTTTAAACTTAAGTTTTTGTATTTAGTACATTATTATCCCAAACACTTGTGTGTATACTTATATCCTTGCTAAATAGTAAACTTCTTTAGACAGAGACCCTTGCATTTCTTTTTGGGTGGGGTGGTCGGTTGTGAGGCCTGAACTCTGCGCCTGGGTGCTCTTCAGCTCAAAGCTAGCGCTCTACCACTTGAGCTACAGTGCCATTTCCAGCTTTTTTTGCTTATGTGGTGCTGAGGAATCGAACCCAGGGCCTCATGCGTGCAAGGCAAGCACTCTACCACCTTCCCTGACCCGAGATCCTTGCATTTTAAGCATCTCTTAGTGTGTTGTAGATATATATCAGATAGAAAAATATTGACTAAATTAGTGATAAAAAGTACTGTCTTAACAAATCAGACAACCTGTTAGTGGTCTTAGAACTTTGTTAGTCTGTCAGAACTAATGAAATATCGTTTGTTTTCTTTTGTGACAAATAAAACTTGGTATTGGTAGAAAATAGTTGTGTGTGTGTGTGTGTGTGTGTGTGTGTGTGACATTGGTGTTTGAACTCAGGGCTTCATATTTGTTTGGCAGGTGTTCTAAACTTTGCCTCTAGCTCCTTTTTGCCTGTGCCTGTTCCTGTGCCTGAACTTCAGTCTTCCTACTTTACTCTTTGAGTTGCTGAGATGACAGGCATTTAGCACTATGCTCAGCTTCTTGTTGAGATGGGATGTTGTGAACTTTTTTTTTGTTCAGGCTGGTCTATAACCTCTTTCCTGACCTCAGCCTCCTAGCTGGGATAACAGGAACTTGCTACCGTGCCCAGCTATTGGTTGAGAAAAAGGGGTCTTGCAAACTTTACTCAGAATGTCTTTGAAGCTCATTTCTCCCAATCTCAGCCTCTTGAGAAGCTAGGATTAAGGTATGAGCCACTGCACTGCACTGCACTGCTTTAATTCCTAAATGTAAAAATTCATACTGTGAAAAATAGATGTATAGTATTATACATTATAACATTCACTGTTAATTGGCTGATTATGAAATGTTTTGGTTAATATAGTAAATGGAATGATTTTTTGTTTTGGTCGGTAGTGGGGCTTGAACTCTGGGCACTGTCCCTTAGCTCTTCAACTCAGGGTGAGCACTCTACCACTTGAGCCACAGTGCCACTTCTGGTCTTCTGGTGGTTAATTGGAGATAAGAGTCTCATGGACTTTCCTGTCTGGACTTGGCTACTCAGCCTCCTGAGTAGCTAAGATTACAGGCGTGAGCCATCCACTCCTGGCTGGAATGATATTCTTAAAATGTATTTTTAGTCTTAATCACTTGTGAATATCAAGGGATATTTAGCTAGCAATATTTTTAATCAAAGAATTACTAAGAGTGATCAAATTCTTTAAGTGCTAAAGTGAGATAATTGGCCAGGAAAAGGAAGAGATCTAAACTGCTGTAGTATAGGGAATGGGGTAGTGGTTCTTATAACATTATAGGTTTTTATATCTGCAGAGATTTAGTTTCCATCTTAGTAGATTCTTCTCATTCTTGGTGGAGAAGAGTAGAAGAGAGGAGGTAATAGATTTAAAGTGAAATTGTGAGAATTGTAAATGAATTAGGGTTCCAGGAACAGACTATGTGGTATATGGTTTAGGGCAATTATGGGTAAAGGAAAGTTTGTGATGGGAAAGATACTTGAAAAATTAGTGTTTGTAAACAAGACTTTGAGTAATTACTTTGTGTTCTATTTAGCATGTTTTCCCTTTTCTTTGGGGGGGGGGCAGTCATGGGGCTTGAACTCTGGGCCTGTGTGCTATCCCTGACCTCTTCAGCTCAAGGCTGAGAACTCTATCACTTGAGCCACAGTGCCTCCAGTTTTCTGGTGGTTAATTGGAAATAAGAGTCTCACAGATGTTCCTGCCTGGGCTAGCTTTGAACGGCAATCCTCAGATCTCAGCCTCCCTGAGTAGCTAGGATTACAGGTCTGTGCCACTGGCGCCAGGCCTTCTTCTTTCCTTCTTTCCTTCCTCCTCTTCCACCTCTTCCTCCTTCCCTTCCTCTCCCTCCCTCCCTCCCTTCTTCTCCCTCCCTCCCTCCCTCCCTCCCTCCTTCCTTCCCTCTTTTCCACCTTCCCTCTTTTCCACCTTCCCTTCTCCCCTTCTTCTCCTCATTTTTTTTTTTTTCGGGTGGGTTCTGGGGCTTGACTCTGGGCCTGGATGCTGCCTCTGAGCCTCTTTGTGTTCAAGGCTAGTGATCTACCACTTAAGCTACAGTACCACTTGTGGGTTTTTTTTCTGAGTAATTTATTGCAATAAGAGTCTCATGGATTTTTTTTGCCCTGGCTGGCTTCCAACTGCTATCCTTAGATCTCAGCCTCCTGAGTAGTTAGGATTATAGGCATAAGCCATCAGTGTCTGACTTACTGCTTCTTTTGATTTGTAGGATACTTATTCAACCCTTAAAATGCCTTATCATTATTTGTAAGTAAAAACTTGTATATGGCATCTCTTTGTTTATGATAATTCAGCTTCTAGGTTTTCATTACCTTCATCTCATACCTGGACATTTATCCCAGTTGAAGAAAATGATGTGTCCAGTGTCAATGTAATACCTACAGGGAGTGTTAAAATTTTCTGTATTAGTTTTTGCTAAAAGGTTGGCTACAGCATGCTGTTAATTTAATAATGCCATTATTGGCATTATTAAATACTAATTGTTAAAATTATAAATTCTAGGGCTGGGAAGATGGCTCAGTGGTAGAGCACTTGCCTTGCATGCAGGAAGCCCTGGGTTTGATTCCTCAGCACCACATAAACAAAAAGAAAAAAGCCGGAAGTGGCACTGTGGCTCAAGTGGTAGAGCTCTAGCCTTGAGCTGAAGAGCTGAGGGACAGTGCCCAGGCCCAGAGTTCAGGCCCCACGACCGGACCCCCCCCAAAAAAAAATTATAAATTCTAAATATTTTTTGTATTTTTGGTTATCCTGAGACATTGTTTTCTGGTGTTGCTCAGTTTGGCCTTAAACTCACTCTAACCTAGTTTGGCTTTGAATTTGTGATCCTCTTGCTTCAGCCTCCTGAATGTTAGAATTACAGATATGTGCCTCCATATCCAGGGAAAACTACATTACACTTTTAAGTTAAGGGAAATGTCACTCAGGGATTTCATTAAGAAATAGTACAATTTTAATAATGAAGAGCATTTACATTGAAAACATCAGTATATGATTCTTTTTAGTTCAATATTTTTTGAGACAGGCTTTACTGTGTGGACTGGGTTAGTCTCGAATGCAGTGATCATCGTATCTTAGCCTCCATACAGACATATGACACCATGTCTGACACCAACATTTGATTTAAATGAAACACACGTACTTTTTCTTCCTAGTTAAGATGATTCAGAGTTGGGCTGGGAAGGCAGAGTTATTGTCCTGGCTTTAAAGAAACGTTGTTGTTGTGTGTGTGTGCTGGTCCTGGGGCTTGAACTCAGGTCCTGGGTGCTACCCCTAGCTTTTTGCTCAGGGTTGGTGCTCTTATCACTTAAGCCACAACACCATTTCTAGCTTTCTAGTATTTAATTGGAGATAAAAGTCTCACAGAGTTTCCTGCCTGAGCTGGCTTTGGAGTATGATCCTCAGATCTTGTCTCCTGAGGAACTAGAATTACAGGCATGAGCCACCTACACGTGACTAAAGAAATCTTAATGCTTAACTAGAAAGTAGTTTGAAAATGTAATGATAAATCATATGTATTAGCTTTTTGATAATATTTAGCACTGGAAGGTCATTAGAGTTGGGTCAGTATTAGTTCTGTTTCTAATTTAGCAGTATCTACTATGGAAAGAATTTTGCTTGACTTGAAGATGGTGTCTAATTTAACTTCTTTTGAAAATAACCTGTACTTTTACTTTTGTAGGACAGGGGAGGAATCAACAGCGTCGAACTTTCAACTAAGTTATCTGGCGGGATGGGCATTTGCCTGACATATTTTATAGAGGTAATTCAACATTATTTTACTCAGTCTTTGTTATTTCTTCTTCTTTTTTTTTTTTTGTCAGTCGTGGGTCTTAAACTCTGGGCTTGGTCGCTGTCCCTCAGTTCTTCAGCTCAAGGCGAGCGCTCTACCACTTGTGCTACAGTGCTACTTCTGGGTTTTTCTGAGTGGTTTATTGGAGATAAGAGTTTCACAGACTTTCCTGCCCAGGCTGGTTTTGAACTGCAATCCTCAGATCTTAGCCTCTTTTTTTTTTTTTTTTTTGGGTCCGGTCGCTGGGCCTAAACTCTGAGCCTGGGCACTGTCCCTCAGCTCTTCAGCTTGGCTAGCACTCTACCACTTGAGCCAAAGCACCACTTCTGGCTTTTTTCTTTTTGCTTGTCTGGTGCTGAGGAATCGAACCCAGGGCCTCAAGCATGAAAGGCAAGTGCTTTACCACTGAGCCACCTTCCCAACCCAGATCTCAGCCTCTTGAGTAGCAAGGATTACAGGCATGAGCCACTGGTGCCCAGCCAGTCTTTATTTCTTGTAACAGATTGCCCACGTCCTTACATGTGAACACTCATACTCAGAACTGTTGTGTAGGACTCTGCATTTACCAGACCATCCCTTTTGCTTTTATACTATTTGCATAGCTCATGGACATACGTATAACATAGTATTACTATATACACTGAAAAGAATCAGTGTTACTAGTTATAGAGAATAAAGTCTATTATCTTTTCTCAGTTAAGTAGATTTCCTTTTCTTTGCATATCATTCCTTCTCATTTCATTCTAAGTAGTGTACTAGTATTTGAGTGTACCATAACTGCTTTGATTAGCCACCGATTTATATAGGGTTTTTTTTTTCCTATTATACATGGTCACATATTGAATATTCTTTCTTTTTTTCTTTTTTGAGCTCCAGTACTGGAGCTTAGGGCTTGGGTGCTGTTCCTGAGATTTTTTGCTTAAAGCTGATACTCTACCACTTGAGCCACAGCTCTGCTTCTGGCTTTTTGGTGGTTAATTGGAAATAAGGGTCTCATGGACTTTCCTGTCCAGGCTGGCTTTGAACCGTAGTCCTCAGACCTCAGCTTTCTGAGTAGCTAGTATTAAGAGATGTGAGCTATTGGTGCCCGCCTTGAATGTTCTTGGGATATCATCACACATATTTTGAAATATATTGACCGTTTAAATTCTTAAGGGAAAAATTATTGGGCCAAATAGTATGTACATCAAATAGAGTGGTGGATAAATTACTTAAATCTTAAAAGTGTAACCACTATCAGTTTTATCACAATGTGCATTTATTTTCATTTGACAGTACTAGCTAATGCCAAACATTTTATATAAATCACTGTTTTTTGTTGATTTATCTTTCATGAGTGAGTTTGAGCTTTTTTTTTTTATTGTTTTGGCTATATATTTTTCAGCAATCTATTTGTTTATCTGTTCTTTTATTTTGCCCCTTTTGTATTAATGTATTAGGAAGAATTCAGAGCTGCTTATCATTTGTTAGGCAAATTATCATTGCTCAGCTTTGCTTATCTTTTGATTTTGGTTTTACCCTTGAGAAGGAAATTTATAAAGAACTTTTTTCTGGTTTCCTATGGTAGTGATGTTATACTTCATGGCTATAATAGAGTGGGGTAGAGAATTCTGGGTAAGTTTTAAAGGTCTTTACCTCTATATTCCTCCACATTATAATGTCTTTGGATGACAAACATTTCTGATTTGTCATTGTTTAACATTGTTTTTCTTAGTAAGACTTAAGTAACTGTTTATCTTAATTAGTAAAAAGTAATTTTAGTTTCAGTGAACTATGGTACTTGAAAAAGTTGAATAAGAGATTATAGAAATTTAGTAAATGATAAATGTGCTTTTAAAACTTCAGAAAAAAAGGTATCACTTAATAAATGGAATGAGGACAGTTGGTTAGTCATTGTTTCTTCCATAGCTCTTTAGTGTATTTTTTTTCCTGTGTCTCTTTATTGCCTTTAGTATTAATTATTTTTTAGTGTGCCATTTTAGTTAGTTTGGTGATTTTTCAACTGCATTTACAAAGGTATTTTCATTGTAGTTGGTGATAAAGTTATAGTTTACATTATAACAGTTTGCTTCATAGCAGTAAAACAGGAACTTTGTCCAGAATGGCCCCTTGTTCTCTCCCTAGTTGGGTGTTGCTTTGCCATATTCATTATATATGTTATGAATTCAGCAGAACTCTATTTTGATCACTGCTTGGTATCTTAGATTTTTTAAAGAAGAGAAGAAGTAGGAAAGATATATTGATAGCTTTGTAGATGTTTACTATTTCTGGTACTCTCGTTTTTTTCCTGTATATTTGAGTCTCATGTCTTTTTTTGTCAGCTTGATGGACTTCCTTTAGAATTTCATACAAGTTAAGTCTATTAGCAAAATTTCTCAGCCTTTAACTGTCTTCATTTTTTTTTATTTTTAAGAATAGTTTTGCTTTTTTTCCAGCTCTTTGAATATATGATTCCACCATCGTTTGTGATTGAGAGTTAGCAATTAATCTTATTAATCATTTCTTGTATGTGCTGAGTCATTTTTTTTTCTGCTTTCAAGATTTTTCTCTTGTGTTTGCTTTCAGTTGTTTAACAATGAATTTAGGAATGAGTTTCTTTGGAGTTATCCTACTGAAATTTCATTGAGCCTCATAGATCTGTAAATTTATTTTTCTTAAAAACGTTGGAAAATCTTTGACATGAATTTTGTTAAGTTTTGTTTTACTTTCTTTTCCTTAGGCTGGGTGTTGTCCTTCCTGTCTTTGAGTTTCTTATTAAATTTTTCCTTCAGTCTTTTTTTCCCTGAATTTATAATTGGACAATTCCTATGATGTGTCTTTAATCTTGCTGATTTTTTTCTATGTTATCTTGAATCAGCTGTTGAGTCTTTCTTATAAACTTAATTTTAGTTACTTTACTCTTTAACTCAGAATTTTCATTTGGTTCTTTTGCATATTTTTTTGCCTTTATTGAAAATTTTATTTGTACCCTATTTGTAAACTGATTGCTTTCATAGTTTAAAAATATTTAAAACATGGCTGGGAAGTGGCTCAGTGGTAGAGCGTTTGCCTTGCATGCCTGAGGCCCTGGGTTTGATTCCTCAGCACCACATAAGCAAAAAGAAAAAAGCCAGAAGTGGCACTGTGGCTCAAGTGGTAGAGCGCTAGCCTTGAGCTGAAGAGCTGAGGGACAACACCCAGGCCCAGAGTTCAGGCCCCACGACCGGACCCAAAACAAACAAAAAAAAATATTTAAAACATGGTCTTTTTATTAACATAACACAGATGTTTTGAAATATCTACCAAAATTAACATATGGGGTATATTCCAAAACAATTTTTTTTTTTTGGGGTCCGGTCGTGGGGCCTGAACTCTGGGCCTGGGCACTGTCCCTCAGCTCTTCAGCTCAAGGCTAGCACTCTACCACTTGAGCCACAGCGCCACTTCCGGCTTATTTTTTTCTGCTTATGTGGTGCTGAGGAATCGAACCCAGAGCCTCAAGCATACAAGGCAAGTGATCTACCACTGAGCCACCTTCCCAGCCCTGGTCAAGTTTTATATTTTGATATTCAATGTGATTTTTAAACTGTAATCTTTTCTATTATTAATAGTTATATATCTTTGGGTGCTACTAATAATTGGCTTTGTTATTTTGTTGTCTTCTTTTAACTTTGTAGATTTCACAAAGCAGATAACAATAGTGTTTTTGAATGGTTGCTTAATCTTCCCTATTCTCTAATCTTTTAGTCTCTGAAATTGTGAATTCATGTAATACTTCATTTTTCTGAAGCTGTTGGACTCCAGGTCTAGGCAAGGTATTCCATAAAAGGGCAGGGTTTGGGGGTTGGTTTTTCTTTTGGGGGGGTTGTTTTTTGTTTTTTTAAAATTATTTACTCTCTCCTACTGTTGTACTTTTCCCACTATCTCACCTAAAAATTAAATGAGTGTACCTGTTATTCACACAAATGTTAAATTTACAGAGTGATCACTTGGGATTAATGCTCATTTGCAGATAGCGTTTCCCTCCTCTAATGTGTTTTGTTTGTTGTATATGTGCTTTATTGTAGGAACTGAAAGTCATAATTGGTTGAAGTGGTATAAAGGTTTTCGAAGCCTATGAAAGGTAGAAACTCAACCATGGTTTCTTGCTCAACTCTACAGCTTTCCCTTCCTTGAAGTCTTCATTTTTACCCTAGGCTCAGGTAATTTTAATACTTACTTTTCTTAATGTGGAGTAAGTAAATTTTTTTCTACTATGAAAACATTTTGTTTTTGCTGTTGCACTTCCATGTTTGGTTTGTATAATAGTTTCTGTTTCCATTTTTACTTACAAAAGAAAATATTTTTTACTTGATTTAATTTTTTTCTCAAAACAGTTTCTAGTCAAAATTGATATAATGCTGTTTTAGATTTTCATTTCAGTTTAACATATGTATATATGTTAAATTCATGTATATTCCGTAATCGTAAGTGATTTTAAGAGATGTTTCCTTTTTTGTAATATTTAAACATTCTTATCGTACAACCATTTCTTCAAATAGTTGTATAAAGGGATTTTAGTTTAATATGTCACTTTATGTGTATAACACATCTTGATCAGAGTCAGCCCCTTCATCATTCTCTGACATATTTTCTTGTTTAAACTTGTTTCTTAACAGAATGCATATTTGTCTTCTTGTCCTTACATTTCCCAGAATTTCCATTTAAACTATTTTAATACTGGAAAAAATAAACCTACAAAATCTAAGTTAGTGTGTTTATAATTTTAAGAATATGATTAAAACATTAACTACTGTACATTTGTACATATTATATTTGCCTATATTATAAAAAGCAATCTTACAGATGATTCAGAAATATTTATATTTGAAATATTAGTATTTAATTGTTATATAGACTTGGCTGTTGATATAGGCTAATAAAGGTATACTTGTATTTGTTTGAAAACTGCATGCAAACTCACTCAGTTGTATGAGGTTCTAGATTTATTATGATCCAGTGCAACTCTTTATTTGTTGTTCTCCAGTTGTTACGGGCAGTTTATTTTAACATCTGTATTTGCACACAATATCCTTTGTTCAGATTCACCTCCTCTGTCATTCTTGCTCTGCTTTTCTTTTTCTTTCTTTTTTTTGGTGCTAGTGATTGAATCCAGGGCATCACTCATGCTAAGTATGGTTTCTTCTGCCATTGGAGAGTATTTGTAGTCTTCCTATCTTGTTGCCCTAGATGGCAACCATATTGTCTAGAACTTTTGTCATCTGACCATAACTAATTAAATGGGAGGCTGTGTCTTAACTTAGGCAATCATGTGTCTTACATAGTTTTTATTATTAGGTAGGAAGGAAAGAACATTTTCTAAGGAGACGGTCGGTCATCTGGCTTGTCATGCTAGGTTTGTGTCAGATTTACTTTCCATTTTGAAAATAAAGTGATATTGGTTTAAATAGCTAACACGATTCTGTCCTGAAATGTACGTTGGTTATTACTATATGGAATATATATTGTCTGTTTCTAGTATATGTAAGAAAGTCTATTTGGCTCTGCGTGTGTGTGTGTGTGTCTGTGTGTGTGTGTGTGTCTGTGTGTGTACTTAGGGTCTTGGTGCTTGCTAGGTTGTTGCTTTGCTACTTGAGCCATACCCTCAGTCTTTTTGATTTTAGTTTTCCAAAATGTGCAAATAGTGTCTCACTTTTTGCCCAAGCTGACCTGGGCTATAGTCCTTCTATTTTTTGTTTTGTTTTCATGCCAGTTTTGGGGCTTGAACTTAGGGCCTGGCTCTGTCTGTGAGCTTCTTTTGCTCAACGCTATCACTTTACCACTTGAGCCATAGTTCCACTTGCAACCTTTTTAGTATTTTAGAGGAGTCTCATGAACATTTCTTCCCTGGTTGGCTTTGAATCGTGATCTTCATCTCTCAGCCTCCTCAGTAGCTAGGCTTATAGGCATGAGCCATTAGTACGTGGCTTATTTATGCTTTCTGTATAGTTGGGACAACAGACATAGATTTTATTAGTTGAGATGGGGGTCTCATGGACTTTTTGCTTGGACTGGTATTAGACTGAAGTCTTCCCAATTTCTGCTTTGCATAGTTATGAGCCACCACACCTTGGCTGGTACTGGGGTTTTTACCTCAGGACTTCGTGCTTGCTAGGCAGATGTTTATGACCTAAGCCATGCCCAAGCATTTTTTTCTTTATTTTTATGGGGTCTCATATTTTTCCCTGGACTGAAATTCTCATGTCTGTCTCCCAAATAACTGGTATTAAAATAATGTGCCAGGCCGGACGCTGGTGGCTCATGCCTGTAATCCTAGCTACTCAAGAGGCAGAGATCTGAAGATCACTGTTCAAAGTCAGCCCAGGCAGGAAAGTCCATGAGACTCTTACCTCCAATAAACCACCAGAAAACTGGAAGTGGCGCTGTGGGTCAAGTGGTAGAGCACTAGCCTTGAGCTGAAGAGCTGAGGGACATTGCCCAAGCCCAGAGCTCAAGCCCTACGACCGACAAACAACAACAACAACAACAAAATAATAGTGTACCAGTATACCTGGCTTGTCTTTTAGATAAGGTTTCAGTAACTTTTTATTGGGGCTGTCCTCAAACTCCCCATCCTAACTAGCTTGGATGTTAGGTATCAGTCATTATGAACTACCCAAAAAGTATTTTTTATATTCTTCTTATCATCGTATAAGACTAGAAAACTTAGTTTCCTAAAAGAATCAATATGTTGAATATTAATATATGAGTAATTGATGTAGTCATAAAATGTAATGAATGGAATAACTAGGAAACAAAGTGTAGGATTCCTTTTAATTTGCCTTTACTTTCTCCTTTTGTTAAATTATAGGCTTTTAAAATATAATTTTATTGTTAAAATATAATTTTATTAAGGTGTTACCATTTCATGTCAGTAATGAATATTTTTATTTTTTGATAATGTCACCCCTTTCTTCTCTTTCCCATCCCATCCCTGCCCACAAGTTTCGTAGTTCATTTTCTGCATAGTGTATATTGAATACCATGACTGCATTTGTTCACCTTCCCTCCTTCCCTCCCTTTTTATGCCCCCTTTTGCCTCTCCTAAAAGACAAAAAAATCTCAAAGCAAAATATTAAAGGTATTTTAAAACAGTTTGAGTTGGCATAAATTTGATGTTTTAACATTTCTGATTATCACCATTGTTACATTATTTTCGAAGACTTCAGTGATATTTTGGTATGCAGTGTATTCTTAAGATTTTAGTGTTTTTAAGTGAGGCTTCAATGTTAATGTAGAAATGCCGATTAACTTTGGTTTGAATATTTATAAATTTATTTTTCTGCCGGGTGTCGATGGCTCACGCCTATAATCCTAGTTACTCAGGAGGTTGAGATCTGAGGATTGAAGTTCGAAGCTAGCCAGCCGGGCAGGAAAGTCCAGTCTGTGAGACTCTTATCTCCAGTAAACCACTCAGAAAACCAGAAGTGGCACTGTGAATCAAGTGGTAGAGCGCTAGCCTTGAGCTGAAGAACTGAGGGACAGCCCTACTACCACAAAAGATAAATTATATATACATATATATATATATGTATATGTTAAGAAATCATTGTATTTTCAGCTAGTCATAATAATGTAAATTTTCTGGTTAGTAATTATGCTAGCAACCATTTAAATCTTGTGCTGTTAATGGCAGTAATCAGAAAGACTATTGTGTCTGGTTGCCATTGTTGCAGTGTTCCTGTTAGGAATTATTTATTTATTTATTTATTTATTTTTGGGTCTGATCATGGGGCCTGAACTCTGGGCCTGGGCGCTGTCCCTCAGCTCTTCAGCTCAAGGCTAGCGCTCTACCACTTGAGCCAGAGCGCCACTTCCGGCTTCTTTTTTTTTTTGGCATATGTGGTGCTGAGGAATTGAACCCAGGGCCTCATGCATACAAGGTAAGTGCTCTAGCCACCTTCTCAGCCCCTGTTAGGAATGTTTTAACTAGACGCACTTTAAAAATGAACATCCTTTTAAAACTGTAATTTTCAGTTGGGCACCCATGGTTTATACCTGTAATCTTAGCTGCTCAGGATGCTGAGATCTGAGGATCGTGGTTCAAAGCTAGCCTAGGTAGGAAAGTCCATAAGATTCTTACATCCAAAAATGAACTGCCAAAAATGCCAGAAGTAGAGCTGTGATCAAGTGATGTTCTTGAGCAAAAGAAGCTCAGGGTAGAGCCCAAGCTAGGACTAGCAAAAATAAATAAATAAATAAATAAATATCATTGTCTCATTTATTGGTTACCTAAACTAATGTAACTACTATCCTTCAAGTAAATGGATTTGCTGGAAATGATGTAGATTAGAAATGATTTGTGAAGGCTGGGCCTGTAGCCTGTAGCTCAGTGGTGGAGTACTTGCCTAGCATGTACAAGTCTGCCATAGTACCACCAAATACAACTAAACAAAGACATAAAGAGTAATTTGTGAGATAGTCTTTTTCTCTTTTACTTGTTTCAGAACAAATTCCTTGAATATCTCTCCTGCCTAAAGTGAGGTTTCTTTTTAGTTTGAGTGAGTTCTGATTATTGATGAACTTGGGAAATTATTCTTTGCATAGAAAATGCAATGATATTTAAGTTCCTAAGCTTGCCCCTAAACTCTGTTTTGATTTAGGTAGTTGAAGTTCCACATTATTCATTGACCATTAATGGGTGATAATGTTACTGCCAAATCCAGTAAATAAGATACTTAAATAAAGTAAGATATTTAAATGAGAAATGTATTTCTTTCATGTTTAATGCAAATTAATTAAAGTAATAAGTGGTAGGTATACATTTTGTGCACATTCTAAAGGAGAATTAGTGCTTTCAAAAATTTTAGAGAAGCTGGGCACTAGAGATTCATGCTTGTAATCCTGACTACTCAAGGAAGTTGAGATCTGATGATTATGTTTTGAAGCCAACCTAGGCAGGAAAATCTGTGAGACTGTTATCTCTAATTAGCCACTAAGAAGTAGGATAGCCACTAAAAAGTACAAAGTAGAACTGTGGCTCAAGTGGTAGAGCATTGGCCTTGAGCCAAAAACAAACAAACAAAAAAACCCCACAAAACTTAGGGACAGTGCCCAGGCCCTGAGTTCAAGTTCAAGGACTGGCACACCCCAATGTTTTTTTTTTTTTTTTTGAGGATTGTGACAGAGGCCTGCATATGTTTTTACTTTAAATCTTTTTTAA